GTTTTAAATATCTTCCTGATGTTATACGATTTGCTGTCCCTGCTCGGGCGCCAATTGTAACGAAGCTTTTTACTGTCCCTGCTTCTTGTGATTTGCTGTATACTCGCCGTGTCCAGGGTTCGTTACAATAAATTTGTAAACTGTGGGGCTCTTTTTACAAATCGTACTTTATTCAATTTTCAATTACAAAATGGTGTCTTCCGCGTTGTAGTGGCGTCACCCAATGAAAGCGCTATGACAGAATAGCGGTTTACGTGGCCCGTTAGTGCGTCACTATCACGGTGAATTACGGAGGGCAGTGGGAGCGGCCGCGATGCCAAGCGACTCACTACCCACTTCACGCGTGACTTTCAGCCTTGGCACGCTAAGGAGTGAAATGCCTACCAGAGGATAGACTCACTGCGAGACATTCACTCCTTACCGCAGTAACGTCGTCCGCCTTTCCGCGCTTCCGTTGAATAGCTATTGTACGATAGCGTATTCTACTCTGCCGCGCTCTGGGGGTGCTAAGCGACTTAGGATGATGTCCGCCCGATACGTGCTACCACGACGCTTCTCCCGCAGCTCGTGTAGGCTTCAACGGCGGTTCTGCTGCTACCCGTGTAGGCCTCGATGGCGATTCTGCCGCCGCTCGCGTATAGCCGTAGAAAAATAATCCCGGACCACAGAAGACTGTGTGTTCGCTATTTGTATTCGCGATTACAGTCCTGTGCTGATTCACTGATGATCGGCCTGCTTGCTTTCCGCCAAGCCGTATGTTGCTTGCTCGTCCGTTCGCAACATGCTGTTTTAGGATGGCGTGTGTTTTTAGAAGTGGCGTGGTTTTCCCGTTCCGGCCCAAACTTGTTGTTTTGTTTACGTGGCGTGGTTTAACTGTTGTGTCGCAACATGTTGCTTTAGAATGGCGTGTGTTGCTAGAAGTGGCTGTTGTATATGAGAACTTGTATACCCGCAGTGTTATATTTATTTAACAGGGTGCGTCATCATACGTGGTGTGGGCTTAATTCCGTATGGATATTTAGTTCTCAGATGTTTCACGATAGATTTCGAGTTCATGATATGAAACGAGAAGTTCTTGTACCAGTTTCTTTCAATTTTCAGCCCTTATACTTCCTGGAAAATTGTAACATATATTTTCAAAAGTAGGGTGCGTTTGAGCTACCTAATAATTGCAGCAGTACAGCTACTGTGTTGCATATTTGCTGATACTCTGCTGATAAGCAGACAAAAAAAACGTGATACTTAGACAAATTTGCAACACTGATGATTGCAAGGAACAAGTTTCATCACGATATTTTAATTTATGCTCAAGTTACAGCTTGCACGAACAAACGGACATTCACCCGGATTTTAACGTCGCGTTATTCTGATCATTCAAATATATATATAACCCTATATCTCGGCTAGTTTTAGGTGATACATATGGTTCAACCGAGGTGAACAAAACTATATTACCCTGTAGCAACTTGTTGCAAGAGTATAAAAACAAATAAAACTTTACGTTTTCAACAAACACTATCTAAATAAATAAGCCCGTTAGTAGATGGACTGCCAGAAGAGCTCTCCGCGACGCACAGTTGAAGCTCGCCAAAAAGCACCGAATTGGACAGTTGATGACTTGGGTGGAAGCTTGTACTCTGGCCGGACGAAAAAAAATCATGGTATTGGGTTGCTTCACATGGTGGCATGTTGTACCTCTGCAAGAAATTGATGGAATAATGAGGAAAGAAGACTATCTGCATATTTTGAGAACCTATATACCCGACTTGGTTTTTGTTGTAGCGGCAGATTTCTGTTGTCAGTCCTTTGCCGGACAAAAATCCGGGTATGTGTATGTGAATATGTATGTTACTCATTGTTTATGTTACGTGATAAGGGTTGTTTTTGATGTACACAAGCAATTGCCTAAATGTATTTTTAGAACCAATTTTTATCAATGCATACATTTATTTATGTATGCATATGTATTGCAGCATATAGTTTTATGTTTGTTAATGTCTATATGTAAGTTTTGTACTAACTCAGCATTATTAAAGATAAGCTTGTTCAAAGATATTTGAACATATTGCCGAGGGAAAATATTTTAGTAGACTGTATTTCTTACATGCTTCTTATCTTATCTTATATTATTAATAAAACTAAATTTATCGAGAGAAGTGACTGCTGGTAAGGTGCCCGCAGTATATTTATTTATTTTTTTATTTATTTAAACGCCAATCGGCAATATATATAGATATAATAAAGAATTATACAAAAGTGGCTAGGGTATATTAGTGTAATATCTGGAAAATATTTAAATAATTGTAAGTTAATATGTAATTCAGACAAGACAAGAAACGGGCTGTTTCGGCGGGGTCGGACCATAGGGAAAAGGATGTTAGATGAGTTGGTTTGTTGGGCATGCAAAGAGGTGGTTAGTATCATGCGGGGCCTCATTGCATGCAGGACATGTGTTTGGTATGTCGGGGTCTATTCTGGATAAGTAGGAGTTTAACCTGCTACAATATCCAGAACGAAGTTGCGCGAGGGTCACCCTGGTTTCGAGGGGCAACTCGAGCTCTACGTCTGCTATAGGTGGTGCTTTGACTCCTAGTACGCCATTCACTGAGAGGGAGTCGATGAAGGTGTTAATGGCTCCACTGTGAATGGCGGTCAGTGCTTGTCTGTAGTTTGTTGTGTCCGAAGTCCGGTCGGCGTACTGTCTGATGTCGTCGACGTAATCAAGGAATGACCTCTTGATGTTTCTAGGAGGCGGTTCCGCTTCAAGCAGGCGACTGCAGGGGTGATTTCTGCGAAAACCTGAAGCATAGGTGTTCAATTGGGGACATCAAGAGGCACCCTGTGATAGTCCGGAGTGCAGTGTTTTGACAAGTCTGAAACTTCCTCGTCTGCGTTGCACTACATCCAGGCGACCAAATTGGTGATACGCAGTTTAGAACCGGCCGGCCGATTGCTTGTAAGTTGCCAACAACGTTTCTTTGTCTTTTCCCCAAGTGCTGCCGGCAAGCGACTTGAGGATTTTGTTGCGACTCTGTACTTTGGCAGTTATCGCGGTCGTGTGAGGAGTTAAGGAGCATACACTGTCCAATGTGATGCCTAAAATTTTAGGGTTATTTACTGTCGGAACTTTTGTGCCATCGACTGACTTCAGGTCCAGTCTGTACTCCTTCGTCCAATTTGTGAAGATGGTCGCTGTGGATTTAGTGGGGGAGAGTGTTAGGCTCTTTGCAGAGAAGAAGCGAGAAAGATCGGAGAGGTAGCTGTTTACTTTTGAGCACATGCCATCGATTCTATTGCCCGACGTCAATATCGTGCAGTCATCGGCGTACGAGGTCACTGAAATTCCCGCTGGTGGCTGGGGGAGTTTCTAAATATAGAAATTAAACAGTAGTGGGGAGAGGACACCGCTCTGCGGAACCCCCCGTTTAATTTTCCTAAGTTTGTTGTTTTGACCTCGAAACAGTACGGATGAATGCCGACCGCTCAGGTAGTTCATAGTCCACCGCTTCAGCCCTGGAGCGTTGTGTGATTAACTGTGTCAAAAGCTTTTGACAAGTCCAACGCTACGAGGATCGTCCTCTCTACTGGGGAATGGAGAGTTATCGGGCGATAAGACTCCCCTTTGTTGGCGGGTTTCCTAGGTTTCAGTAGTGGGACCACTCTTCCGACTTTCCACACATCGGGTATTTGAAGAGTGGACATCGACAAGTTGAGGACCTTGGTGAGATAGTTTACTCCCGTTGAGCCTAGATGTTTTAGCATCGGCATGCTTATTCCGTCAGGGCTGATGGATTTAGACAATTTCGCCTTTTTGAAGACACTACTTCCATACTCCTCTTCCCTGCTTGGCGGACGTCTCATACGTTTCTTCTCCTTGACCTTTGGGCTCCGTGTTGCTGCGGCCGTTGATTTGCGTCTACCTCCTCAACCATCAGCACCACGTTGAGAACGTCTCTTTTTGGTTGTAGTACCAAACTTAGAATCATCTGAGTCATCTTCATTTTTTTCCCCCAACTTAGGAGGCCTCAAAAATTAAATTTGAATTTGTTTTTTATAAATCGTCTTATTTTTACACGAAGATTACAAATCCGGGAGCGAAAAGTAAAGTTTTTCACAAATTCTATTTTTTTTTTCAAAAAATTATATCAAACAAAAAGATTTTGTAATTTTTGTAATAAATATACATTAAAAATAAAATATTGTATATGCATTAAAAATAAAATATTGTGATACATTTAAATTATTTCTTTTATTTTTTCCGCTGCTGAAAAGAGTTCGGTGCAAAAGGACTATGGACACCCTGGAGTTGGACCGACCAGGGTTATTTTTTTGACGCGATTGAATTATGAACACCCCGGTTTTGGACCGACCAGGGTTATTTTTTTGAAGCGCGGCCGAAAGCCGCCAGTGTGGAAAGGAGTTCATCGATATCCGATATTCATCCATACAATCAGATTGCGGCGCAAAAGAAATTCTGACTGTTACATTTCTTCAGTATATCTTTTTCATAAGAAAATGTTTAACACGCTGAATTGGTAATTACAGCTAAGTGATCTGAATTCTACAGAATTTTATCGCTACAACAATAACAACTAAGTGACTTGAATATGTGATATGTGCAAAGTGTGTTAAATAAATTTTGAAAAATATACATAAATTACTGAACAAATTCTCTATCCGCTCACGGATTTGTAATTTTCGCGTAAAAATAAGATTATTAAAAAAAATTTCATTTTTGAAGCCTCCTTAGTTGGGGGACCTAAACTATACATTTACTCCCTTCTTTTCTTATGCACTTCTTATTACTAATTTGTGTTTCTCATTGTATGTATGTATATAACTATATTTTTTATCTCCTCTATCAGCCTATACCCATTTTAACCCTGAATTCAGGGGACGCTATTCCAAAATTTACCCACAAATTCAATATATTTATTATATACATTTTTATTCTTTTATATAACAATTATATAAATGAAAATAACGTACTGCATGTACACTTTTCTTATTGATCTTGACTTTAAATTGCTTTATTTCAACTTTTTATATTTAGTTTACATTGTCTTCATGTCATTTATAAACACACATATGTATGTAAAGATTTGGTTAAAAATACGGAATAGGTCTTTTGTAGATTTAACATATTATTTCAATATAGCTCAGTATATAATTTTAACACTTTAATTAATGGTCTAATCAGACTTATTCAGTTTTTTTTTTTGTTTTGCTAGTTTAAAGCCTTCATATATACCAGTATAATAGCCACTCATGTACCAGGACATTAACATAGCTGATAAATGTTCCGAATCTCCAATACTTTGTGTTACCATAGGCGGTAGAGGAGGAGGAGCGGGAACAACATCAGTTAACATTTTTTTTTTGCTACTAACAGTACTACCGTTAAGATCTTCCCGTCCTTGCGTGTTTACCTGTTGAAATTGCAAACGTCGTGACTTTTTCCCCCAAGACGGTAACAAATCCTTTAGATTAACTATTTCTTCGTTATTGTACCCAATATATTTCACCAAGCATGTTCCATTAGAATTGTCCTTCGATAATATTTTCGCTTCATAATCACAACCATCATCGGGGTAAGTGGACCTAACGTAGTCGCCCACATCAAATTCAGTTAAATTACTTGACTCTTTTTTTAATATTTTTGTTGCACCGCTATTGGTGTTACTGGATATACGTTTTGCTACATCTTCGTTACCAAGTTTTACACATTCACCGTAGGATTTAATTAACATACTCTCATCCCAAGACTGAGAGTCTGTACAGTTTTTAATAATTACTTCCATTGAACGATTATTTTCATTACCAAATTTACAAAAACTGCTCTGAATTAGAGCTGCAAAACTATCGATGGTACTATCGATAGTTTTATTTTCGTCTCACTATCTATCGTTTATTTTAACTATCGATGGAATATTCGTCGTATTTTGAGTTAAAATATTAAGGATTTTCAAAAAGAATGTAAGAAATTGTCTGAATTGTTTATGTTTGGTTTCGTCATTTATTGTGATGTTTTTGAGCGCTGAATATACACTAGCTGCGACTAAAATCGTCCGTATTGTGTTTTACTCGGCGGCAACACTCTGTGAAAATCCGTCTGAAGGCGTCGCCGAGTACGACGAATATTCGTCGTCGTCCGTATTGTGTTTAAACTATTAATTAGACTTCCCAAATATTTTCATAAAATTGCCAATTTTACTTAATATAATCATCTACCTGTAACTCACTGATGAGTTCGATCACTGATTGTTAAATAAAAGTCCAATTTAATGGCTATACACCTATCTTTATTCCAACAACTTTACACTTATTGCTCGATATTCGAGTTTACAACTTATTGCTTATAGCTTAATTGCTCTTTGCACGGCAACACTCTAATTAGAACTGTCCCTGCTGCACAGTCCGGCAGCCCTTATATAGTAAATTTTTAACAAAAGTTCGCTACTAGAACATTCTGGCAACTACGAATTCGCTGTCTAGATGCTTCTGGTAGTTTATCGTCGATTCTGATTTCTTCTGGTATTCGTGTTCGCCATAATACACATGGGCACTTGAAAACAATACCATATCATGCAGCATAAACATTGTGTACACACATGTATTGAGTTGTATACTTAGAAACAACCCCATGTGATATGCATGCAAACATACACAGATGCATATATATTTAATTAGATAAGTAAGATTTGTAAATAGTATATAAGCAACAAATTTTGTCAAATAAAACAATAATGAAAATATTCTCAGCTCAATAAACTCTGAATTACATGTTAACTTACAATTATTTTAATATTTTCCAGATATTATACAAATATACCCTAGCCACTTTTGTATAATACTTTAATTCTTTATTATATCTATGTATATTGCCGATTGGCGTTTAAATAAATAAATAAATAAAGTATTTTCTGTCCCTCATCAGCGGTAACACATTTAGAAATCTTCATTGAGTTTATACATGTGTTTATGAATAGCAGGGTCAAATGTATAAACTCATTAAAGTATCCTAGATGTCTTAAAATTGTAAAGAGATCTTATTTATTACCAATAATTTTGGAGAATAAAATTATGAAATTAATCAACCGAGACGGCAATCACGACACCACTTTTGCAAAATTTGTCAAAGTATCACGTTCTGCGTGAATTTCTGGCAACACTTGCACCAGCATTACGTTCTACTATCACTTTTTGTGCGCAATTTATGCATATAATGGGTAACATTCAATTTTTGTTTGCACATCAGCAGAGTATCAGAAAATATGCAACACAGTTGCTGTACCGCTGTAATTATTACGTAGCTCGAACGCACCCATATTATGGAAACATTCTGTCGTGATTGAATTTCACATTATATGTACATACATACATATACGTGGTATGTTCATAGGAAAAGGTGAATTTTGAATTTTTTCAAAAGTACTTATTTTTTGAAAAGTACTTATTTATTCATTAATATCTATTTTGGTCCCTTCAAAGTAGTCCCCCTCGGATATAATTTACTTGTGTCAACGCTTTTTCCAATTCTCGAAGCACTGCGAAATGCGTTTTTCGGTATGGCCATTAGCTCTTTCTCGATTCTGACTTAATCTCATCAATTGTGGCAAAACGCTTTCCTTTCATTGGTTTCTTCAGTTTTGGGAGTAGGCAAAAGTCGTAGGGAGCCAAATCTGGTGAAAACGGTTAAGCGCTACTTATAAACACTTTTTTGAGACAAAGTAGACTCACCAAACTCTACAGTCAACATTTCAAGTCCTTGGAGCACTTTATTCCATTTTTAACGCAAAACTTAATACATATTCTTTAATCCATTTCTTTCAAAAGTCAAAACTTGAGTAACACACAAAAACGTGACTAATCTTTGCTGTTGTCAAAAACAAACTACTAATCGAAATTGGCTCCTGTGTAAGCACATGATAAACATGTCTCCGAATATAAGCGAATGTACACAGCCCGCAGATTTCTCGACAAACCGTCTACGTGTTAACTCTAATTTGAGTTCGATCACTGCAATTTTATATATCTAAGAGTTCCGATTTCATAGATATACACTTATCCATATCTCTAATTCATTGTTATTCGGGTTTTCATTTTCTTACTTATAGCTTCTTCAGCCCCTATATAGTAGGTCGTTACTAAAACTTCGCCACACGAACATTCCAGCAACTACGAACTTAGCTATGTGGTTGATTTTGGCAATTTCTCGTAGATTATATTTTGTTTTGGTACCGTCGTCACAATTGATCGTTCCCATTAGAAAGTTCGCTGCACCAAATGCATAGCTTTTATGTCATGCGAACGACTAATGTTATTAGCTACGGATGACATTGCCACAATAATAAATTGAAGCCTTTAGAAGATGGTATGAAGAAATAGACTAAATATCATTCTCTTCAAACGGCTTTTATCTTCTTCACAAAGTGAAAATCACTACCATTCCTGAGAACTTAAACACTCAATAGTATTGTAGAAGTAAAAGTAAATGCGGTAAATTATTTGGTTTAGCCTTAACTCAATTCTATAGAACAGTGGAAGAAACACGTATTAATACTGTCGAAAAACAGTTGCTAAAATGTGAAGGCGGTATGTGTAAGCGCCACCCGAGAATTTAGAGTTCTCATCACCACTTCAGTCTGCAATCAGCGAGGAGATACACATATAAACTCTTTCTTAGAAACGACATCACTAAGATGAGAAACATTAAAAATAATCAGAATTAGTCTAAGAAGTAATCAGTCTGTAAAGCGAAACCAAAAGCTAAACTGTCACAGCATATTTCATTCTGTCTCCAGTTTTACCATAAATAACTAGCGTCATGAGAAGCTTTCTGAAGCCCCTATTACGGTTTCCCACTCAACCAAAATTTGGACTTCAAAGTAACAAAAAATTGATTGGAGTTTTGTCGAACTTCAACTTTTTCGCGATATAACGGTACTACTACACTGTGCTAATACATTTGACTAGAATATTATAAATCAAAGTTGAATATTAGTGCTGTTTATTTCGGGAAAATAATAATAGAAAATGGAAAGATGTAAATAAATTAATAACAATAATTTTAAACTCTTCCACTGTAGTGCTTATAATTTTATTATAGAAAGTACGACTGTATAGCGTACACGTTTGTACTGAAATATTCCTTCATCTCATTTAGCAAGAAATATTTTCCTTATGTAAACGAAAATATTTTATGAACCTGCAAAAACCATTATGTAAAATCCAATTATTTGTCATTAAAACTTTGCCTTACTTGGTGTTAGAAAGCTTAAATTGATTTGAGTGCTAACGAGTTCTTTTTCGTATACGCAGTACATCAGTTTTGGTCCAACATATTCATTGTTATAATATAAATAAAAGCTAAAATCCATTTTAATATTTATTCGCCCTTTTGTGAGCAATAACTGAATCGCATTTTATTAATTTTTCGATTTAAGATTTTCAACTGCTCAATTATCTGTCAAATCTTTACTTTTTTAGGTTGACAACATCAATCAAACTTCGATTGAAATTTGTTGTAGTTCGCTATACTGTATACAGTCACAGGTCTCTAAATTTGAAATTTTTAATTAGAGAAAATTGTTGACTTGAGACTTACAATTCAGTTACTGACAGTTACAAAAATCTCTCAATTGAAAACGTACAGATCTAATCAACTGTTACATTTCGTTATATAGAGATGTATATAAAACCTAAATGAAAATAAACATGTCTTCCGACAATCGATTCAAAATGGAAAACAAGAATTCTTATTAGTTTTGTGACCTAATTACTATATATAGGAACTTGCCACAAATCGAGACTTACTTCAAAATATCTCAAATAGTGACTAGAGACTGCTTACTAAATTGCGCAATATAAGAGGGTTTGGTTGATCTGAAGTTGTATTGCTTTAACTATAATTCAATTGAATGGAGTTGCAAACTGTAATAACGTATAAATTGATTCTAGTATTCAATATAACATAAATAAATTTTAACCACAATATCGCTTATATAATCATACCTTACGAATGTAAACAAATAATCTCTTAACACTTGTAGAAAATATACCATAATTACAAACAAACAACAATCAGATTTGTTGGAACACAATTTATATGTCGTACAATGGAATAAGAAGTTGTACAACAGATTTGATCGTTAATGGCTTGGTTTAAATAGGAGCCACTAATATAATTTCTGAAGGTGTGGCAATATTGCAATATTATCTATATATTATTGGCGAGTTATTATTTGGATGTAAGTGCGTTTACTGTATATTTAATAACAAAATTTGGGAAATTTCGTTGAAAGGTTATTATGATTACGAATAAGTGACAAAACCGATCTGATAAATTTCATTATGAGAATATTACCGTTTTCGCTTTGAGTGTTGTAATTCGCATTTTATAGTTAAGTGTTTCATTGTGTATTTTAGGGAATAGTTAACTAGTGCCCGTTTGATTTGGCACATACGCGTAAAATTTATGTGTATGTGTAAATATTTGTGTATTAAATGAGACCAGTTGGCTGTGATGTTGTCATAGCCTAGACCAAAAGTTATAAGCTTTCTGATGTTGTCATAGCTTAAAACCGTATTATGTATGTTTGTATAAATTTGTATACTTTTATCTTCATCAAAAAAGCGGGTGGAGTCTTGGACAATCGAAAATTAACTTTTGTGTAGTCTTGTGAATTATTATACAAGTGTTTTGTTTTATTTATTTTACAATATTAAAAATTTTGGGAACATTGGTATACCGTCCCAGGCTTTCGGGGATTGATGTTGGACCGACCAACGCAAAAAGAAGTTCTCCGCGAAAAAACTTTGGTACACCCCGGTGTTTGACCGACCAAGGATATTTTTTGAAGCGCGGCCAAAGGCCGCCAACACCAAAAAGAGTTCTACAAGAAAAAGTAACATTGTCATAGAGGATATAACATAATCCGGGAAAACTTTAGTATACCGTCCCAGGTTTATGGGGATAGAATGGGTATGGGCGGATAGAGGAGATCCTCTAAATCAAGAATATTTATAGATATATCAGCGGGAAACTTATTTTTCGAAATATTTACGTTTAAGGTTGAAAATTTCAAGTAATTATACACATATTGGGTGGGCTTTAGATTAGCATCCCACGATTTCAGGGTTAAGAGGGGTAGAGGAGATTCTCCAGAACACGAATATATATAATTATTGCCGCCGGAAACTTATAGTTTTCGAGATATTTGCATTTTAAGTTGAAAATTTCATAAATTTCATTTTACAATTTCTCGATTTATGGTTATCTTTTCTTTTATATTATGCACTTATTATACACTAACTTTTCACTTCAATGTTTCTACATATTTATTTTATATTAAATATTTAAGTATTTGCTTTAAATAAGCATTTAATTTTTACACAATTTTCGTAATATGAACAATAACAAATGGGTTCCATGTTGTCAGATAATAAGTGTTGCCATATCTATTATATATATATATATATATATATAAATATATATTTTGAAAGCGAATTAAAATGAACAATAAAAGAGGATTATACCCCAAATACATGAACTATAACTTTGTTCATTCCCTTCTATTGATAAATTATGGTATTGGATTGGCCAGGGTTATTTTTTTAAAGCGCGGCCGAAGGCCGCCAGTGCGGAAAGAAGTTTGACGCTATTAAATTATGAACACCCCGGTGTTATTTTATTGAAGCGCGGCCGAAGATCGCCAGTGCAGAAGGAAGTTTGACACGATTTTTTTAAAGAGCGGCCAAAGGCCGCCAGTGCGGGAAGAAGTTTGACGCTATTGAATTATAAACACCCCGGTGTTGGACCGACCGGGGTTATTTTTTTGAAGCGGGGCCAAAGGCCGCCAGTGCAGAAAGAAGTTTGACGCGATTGAATTATGAACACCCCGCCGGAAACTTTATAATTTACGCGATATTTTCATTTTAAGTTGAAAATTTCACAAATTTAATTTAACAATTTCTCGATTTATGGTTAACTTTTCTTTCAGATTATGCACTTTTCATACGCTAACACTTCACTACAACGTTTCTACGTATTTATTTTGTATTAAATAATTTAATATTTGCTTTAAATTAGTATTTTATTTTCACACAATTTTCGTTATATGCACAATAACAAATGGGTTACATATTGACAGATAATAAGTGTTGCCATATCCAAAGGAATGAAAACAATCAAAATAAATAAAATACCCAGTTACCCTCTACAAAATTAACTTATATGCATATTATTTACCAATTCAATGACAAAACGGACAAAAAAAGAAACTGTACCTTGTTTAGTTGTAACAATATCTGTTATAATTCGTGATAGAAAATGAAAGGTATATAATATAGGGATATACCCTCTTAAACATTACTTTTTTTTTGGTTAGATTTCCTATTTGCATTAGAGGCTTTCGGCCGCGCTTCTAAAAAATAACTGGCCAATCCAACACTAGGGTGGTCGTTATTTCTTTCGTGTCCAACTTCTTTCTGCATTGGCGGCCTTCGGGCGCGCCTTCTAAAAATAACCCTGGCCGATCGAACACCGGGGCGGTCGTTATCCCTTTCGCGTCCTATTTCTTTCTGCATTGGCCAATCCAATACCATGGTTGATCAAGAGAAAGCCTGGGACGGTATACTAAAGTTTTCCCGGATTATGTTATACCCTCTATGACAATGTTACTTTTTATTGTAGAACCCCTTTTTGCGTTGTCGGCCTTCGGCCGCGCTTCAAAAAATATCCTTGGTCGGTCCAACACCGGGGTGTACCAAAGTTTTTTCGCGCAGAACCAACGAGAGCGGTCCAACACCAATCCACGAAAAACTGGGACGGTATACTAAAGCCGACCCAAAATTTTTATAGCACATACATTCATGTAAAATCATTTTTATTCACAAATTGATATGTTTGACTTTAGCTAGTTCAACATAGCAGCTTCATGATTTCAACATAAGCGGGTAAATTTTGGAAGAGCCTCCAGGAAAACTTTAGTATACCGTCCGACGCTTTAAACGTAAATATTTTACCTATATTAGAAAGAACCAAAAACACCCATACGCAACGATTAGAGTCAATAAAACATACTTATAAGTAAACATAATATATGAAAATTTAGTTCATAATATTTGTAGAGGGTATTTTTAATATTTTTTATATATTTTGATTGCTTTCCTTCGTTTGGATAGATAAAATAGATATGGATTGAGGAATGCACCGCGACCTATGGTCTATTGGCCCTCCCCTAAGTCACAACGACTCATCTAGCCCCAGTCTCTTCCTGCCTGCTCTTTCCTCTTTACGGAGCAGCTCTTGAATGGTGTGTGGATTTCGAGCCTTCGGTGTACCACTTGATAGTACTTAGCAGTAGGTCCAGCGTGGAATCGTTCGCATTACTGCTAAAGGAAACTTTGAACTTCCTAGTGAAGCTTACCAAGCCACCGCTTCATATGTTATGATCATGGTGTACAACAATCTAATAATCCTCGGGTTGCAGCCCCATGATTTCCCAGCAAGTCGATTGCACACCATGAGCGCTTTCGTAGCTTTGGCTAAGGTCAGGTCGACATGCTGCTTCCACCGTAGAGTGGAATCCAGCGAGAAGCCTAAGTTCTTCACCGTGTTAGCCATTTCCAGCTCCCTGTTGTTGTGGTTGTTTTTGTAGCGGCAGAATTTTGTCGAATTGACAGTCCTTGGCCGGAAAAAATCCGGGTCTGTTCCGGTTGCGTAGACCCGACTGTTATGGGAACGGATTCCAGATCCCTGCTGTCTAGAGATAGGTTTCTGAGGCCTGGCAGTAACCTGCGCCTGGTAAACAGTATAATTGTAGTTTTGGAGGGTTTGATGTTTAAGCCAACCCCACTACACCACCCCTTTGCCAGCCCAATCCCCTTTGTACAATATCGCAGAGAGTGTCTGTGTACTTACCCCTGGCTAAGATAAAAATATCGTCCGCATGTCCCTGACAGCGGATTCTATTGCTAATTAGCAGCTCAAGAAGATCGTCCACAACTAGACTCTAAAGTAGGGGGGATAGCACTCTACCCTGTGGACAGCCTCTTGTACCAAAACGAATTCTGGTATCGCTTACTGTGGTTTCAGCTATCCTGGTGTGTAGTACGGCTTCAATCTACAATCCATCTGCGTACCGGTGCTGCCACACTCCTTTTCTCTAGTGATCTTGACACGCTTTCGTGCGACGTATTGTCAAAAGTACCTTCGATGTCTAGAAAGGCGCATAACAACATCTCACCCCCATCTAACGAACTTCGGATCTCTGAGGTTAGCTGATATAGAGCAGTATTGGTTGACCTGCCTGCCTCTGTAAGCATCCTGCTGTGCGAGTAGCGGTGCAGCCTTCAGGACCTTCGATCTTATTTCGTGATCAATGATCTTTTCCATACTCTTAAGTAGGAAGAAAGTTCGACTGATTGGCCTGAAGAATTTTGCCAACGAATAGTCTTTCCTTCCTACCTTGGGTATGGAGATCACCTTTGCAGTGCGTTAAGGTTCTGGGATATACGCCAGCGCTAGGCTTTCCCTCATCAGCCGAACAAGGTGGGGCAGTAGGACCTGCTCCCCCTGTTGCAGAAATGCTGAAAGGATGCCATCCGCACCCTAAGACTTATATTTCTCGAAGGAGGCCACAGCCACCTTGATAGTTCTGCAGGGAAGAGCTGTTTTGCGACTATCCAATCTAAACGAGATGGCTTTCGTTCGACCATAGGTCGAATCCGGTCCTTTTGTATTGTCTCCGGGAAGTGCGCAAGTAGAAGAGCCGTGGCTCTTTCCTCTGCGCTGGTCGTATAGGTCCCATCCGATCTTTTAATTGCTAGTACTGTGCCCGTCTTGCCTCTATCTAGACCCTTATGCAGCCTTGCAGCCTCTGGCGTTGAGGAGCCGCTTTCACAGAACTTCCTGAAGCTCTTCTGTCTATGTCTATGACCTATAATATAAGTAAATAAGGTACCAAATATCATTGTGATCCATTCCCGAATTCGTTGGACAGCGAATGTAAAAATCTTTTGCAAAATTATGTAAAGCTTTGCCAACACCGGAAAGTATTTTCCCGGCTTTGATGTTTGTGATATATAAAATGTTCGTACCCGAACTTAGCCATTCCTTACCGGTTTTTTAATAAAAATTGTTACCGATTAAGTGGGTCAAATTAAACACATTTAATATTTGTTGTTTACTTCTAAAACAAAATTATAAAGAATTTGCAATTACCGTAAAAATCAGCACAGCTACCAGTCTAAATGACATACAGCACTTTACAAAAAAGAAGGACACACAGTTATGGACAATAGAATAGAGTCACCTTTTGGAAGTGTAAATTTAATTAAATTGTTGAAATCCTTGGACGGGATCTATTGAGTGCTTTGAGGAAATTATTTGTGGGCACCATGCTTCTTAAAGGCACTTAGATAGGAGCACTCAAAACAAATAGTAAAACAAAAAGATTTAGTCAGCGTGTTAATTATAATTGGATTCTTATTTTCATCAACAAAACATCCATTGTTAATATATTCGTATTTTGCAGTTTCATATGTATTTGTACAAAAAGGAATTAATTTCAGTACGGTTGTTTAACTAAAATGACAAAAAAAGTTAAAAGCGAAAGAAAGGGTCAGCATAAGATTGATAAAATAATTGAACGTTCCCAAATCTTCGTTGTTAATGTTCCATTGACATCAAAACCGCATTACAAAAAATAATGGTGATCCTTTCAAAAGATGGTGACTTATGGACATGTTGTTGTAGCGGTTATCAGATCGCCGCTCTGTGGTAAGGTTCAGGTTAGTTGTCATCGAAGTCATCTAACGGTAGGCCCTGGAAACGAGCTGTTTCGACGGGGTCGGATAATAGGGAGAAAAGTGTTAGATGAGTGAGGTTCGTTGGGCATACAAAGAGGTGGTTAGTGTCTTACTGGATGTATATATGGTATGTCGGGGTCGATTTTGGATAAGTAGGAGTTTAACCTGCTACAGTATTCAGAACGAAGTGGCAACTCGAGCTCATCGTCTGCAATGGGTGGTGGTTTGACTCCAAGTACGCCATTCACTGGGAGTGAGTCGGGGAAGATGTTAATGGCTCTACTGTCAGTGCGTGTGTGAAGTTAGTTGCGTCCGAAGTCTGGAAGAACCTCTTGATGTTCCTAGGAGGCGCCTCCGGTTTCTGTTTCCCAAGAGAAACTGCTTAGAGAGGAGATCCTTCTGTGCCTTAACTAGAAACATACGAGCCTCACTATGTAGGTGTTCGACTGGAGACATCAAGAAGCATGCCGTGATAGTCCGGAGTGCAGTGTTCTGACACGTCTGAAGCTTCTTCGGCAACGTTTCACTACAACGAGGTGACCATATCGCTGCGACGTAGTATATGATCGACTGGCCGATTGCCTTGTATGTTGCCAACAACGTTTCTTTGTCTTTTCTCCATGAGCTCCGGCTAGCGACTTGAGAATTTTGTTACGGCTCTGTACTTTGGCAGTTATCGCGGTCGAGTGTAAAGCTAATTGTAGAGAAGAAGTGAGATAGGTCGGAGAGATAGTCGCTTACTTTTGAGCACATGCCATCGATTCCATTTTCCGACATTAATATCGTGCAGTCATCAGCGTGCAAGGTGATGGAAATTCCCTCTGTTGATTAAAGAAGATTCGAAATGTAAAAATTGAACAGTAATGGGAAGAGCATACCACCCTGCGGAACCCCCCGTTTAATTCTTCTTAAATTAGAGTTTTGACCTCGAAACAGGATGATAACGACCGCTCAGGTAGTACATAGTCCACCCTTTCAGTCAAAAGATTTTGACAAGTCCAAAGCTACGAGGATCATCTTGTCACAGGGTGGCTTTTGGTTTAGGCCATGAACTATCTGGGCGTTTATGACGCTAAGTGCTGTGGTGGTGCTGTGCACTTTTCGGAAGCTATTCTGGTAATCAGCTAGACTCAAGTGGTGTGTGAACGTCGCTAGTACCAAGGCCTCAAGTGTCTTCACTACTGGGGAAAGGAGAGTTGTCGGACGATAAGATCCCTTTTGTTGGCGGATTTCAGTAGTGGGAGCACTCTTACGACTTTCTACACATTGGGTATTTGAAGAGTGGTCAGTGACAGGTTGAAGACCTTGAGTAGGAAGCTTACTCCAGTCTAGCCAAAATGCTTTAGCATTAGCATGTTTATTCCCTCTGCACCAATGGACTTGAATGATTTAGCCTTGTTGGGAGGGGGGGGGGGTGGTTGAATATATTAACTATTTCGTGCTCGACATCGCCTGAGCGGATAGCTATACCCTGACATTGAAGAGTAGTATACCCACGTTCGATGTCTTCAACGAAGAGATATATTGCACATCATTATCTCGATCGCGATTATTACGCATAATGTTGAAACCTGAACAACTCAAAAGAAATGAGCGGCGGTTTGACTTGGTTTCTTGGACGGCAGTTATCGAGGAGTTCTAGAGTTCGTTGCCATGTAATTTGTAGTAGTCGAGTTAGTCGTGCGTGTAGGTGGCGTCAAGAAAAGCAATTGACTGATGTGATGTTCCAATGTATGGCGGTCTGATACACGGAACAGACTGGGCGAGGAACCAGGAGTGGCTTACTGGTTCTCGTACGAAGATTTGAGTAGGCTGAAGATTGAGAGGGAGGGGGACTGATTAGACAGGAAGTCATACTGTCTGTTTGAGCTCCTTGGGTCCGTAGAGGTCCTTTGTTGGCATCACGACTGGAGTGGCGGCGCAGTGCACGAACTGGATGCAATATTCATTTTCATTTGTCATTTTTGAATAATTTACAATAGTTAAACTGATCTATCAATTACAAAACAAAACTTAGTAACATTGAAGATAGCGGCTATATCACTTTAATGAGGTATCCTCATATCTTTTGTACGAACTCAACTCGATGATTTCGTTGCTGCTTTTACATATAATGTACGACATACAAAAATGACACTTGTAAATATCGTCACCGAGGTGATTTTAATCAATTCTACCCGAAATCACCATGAGCGACTCT